GGGGGGGGGGGGGGGGGGGGGGGGGGCGAGACGCCGACTACAGCGGTGCTTGATGGTCCGAAAGATGTAGAATATACCACAGATCGACGTCCTTCTTGACACAACGCAGGCGACGACCACTTCTTGAGGCGAAACCGAGCACGGTCAACTCACGATCAACCGGCCGCAATACCGTACACACGTGACAAGTTCTTTACATAAGCAACACAACGCGTGTATCGTAATGCAGATGGTGCATTCAATCTCGGTGCAATCAGGAAAGCTCTGCTGCCCCACTGAAGCTGCGGCGTGAAGCAATACGGATGGCATGCAGGACAGCACTTGGGCTGTCAGGCAGCACCTCGCCTAGCAGCGGCTGCGCATGGCAGCTGTGGCCCGCAATATTGGGGATTAAAGTTGAGGTCCCACTTGCACTCAGTCTGTGCATGTCACCCGTTGAAGCTGACGTTGTCGCTGCTTCAGCTGGGCCACACATGGCCCCGCTCGGGGGCACGCGGCAGGCAATTCACTTGCACCCAGCCCTATGGCATGCATGCGCGTTCCCTCTTGCATGAGCCAGAGGCACCAGCAAAATCTGCAGCTGGCTGCAGCCGTCACGCAGGCTTTACAGACGTGTCTTGAGCAACACTTGGTATCATGCAGGCACATTGGCCGCCAGCAATGCAAAAGCACCGGACCTGCCGTGACATCTGTACGTGCCAGGTCTGTATGCGTGCGACAGCAATCAAGGCAAATCACGCCGCTGCCAAATCTTCAAGGCGGAGAGGCGCATGGCCGCTGACACAGTGTGGTCAACGCTCATCAACTTGCAGCAGTGTGCGTGCTCAACGAGAGGGCGTGCCTCAAAGGGCAGCACACGCCTTGCTCAACCGGGGCTGCCATGCGGGGCGGCTCCAGGCAATGCAGACCTTGCGCAGGCGCTCTGAGCAGTCATTGCTTAAGACTAAGCCCTCCCCTCATGTTCCCATAAGCACACTGCGACTCAAACTCACATGCCATGCAAATCCACTACAGAAGCACGCGGCGGTTGACTGCATGCACCAAGCAAGTTGCCGCCGCCGCCGAAGAAGGCGCCGCGTCACGCCCTCCGGCGCCCGTTGCGCCAGTGCATCACGAAGCACAGCAGCGCGCAGCAGCCGGCCCACATGGCCACCAGGATGGCTATGTCCGGCAGCATCATGCGCGCCTTGACGCCGATGATGTCGAGGAAGACGGTGCCCTTCATCGAGACGGTGATGGACACGTTGGGGGCGGTGAAGTATAGGTAGAGGGATCGCAGCTCGTTAATGACCATTGCCTCCCAGGCGTACCTGGGGTGGATGGGGTTTTGAGGGGAGGGAGGGGGGGTTGGCTGATGGTTTGTGTGCGTGCATGTATGTGGATATGTGTTTGTGTGTGTGTGTGTGTGCGTGGAGGAGAGAGAGTGTGTGTGTGTGTGTGTGCGCGCGCGTGCATGTGCACATGTAGCGTATCAAGAGCAAGAGAAGAAGACCGCAGAAAAAGACACCTGCGCAAATGCGCGCTGCCCGGACACTGCATACAGGGGCGCGCCACGCAGGCCGCCAGCAGGCGGCTGCTTGTTCGCCCTCCCTCCAAAAAAGGGTCTGCTCCCTGTCGCGCCAGGGGCTATCGTGGCGTCGACCCTCAAATACAATTGAGGGCCCCCACCTGAAGACGGAGAGGTACGTGATCCACCTCAGCGGGAGGGGTATGGACTCCTTGTTGGCCAGGAATCCCGCGAAGAGGACCCCCACCAGCAGCACCAGGTTCATGGCCAGGACCTGGGGG